CATTTAGAAAAATTTTTGAAACTAATAACGATTTCAAATTGATATTTCTAAAAATTTTTATATAAGCGCATGTGAGTTCTTCACAGATTTCGAAAGACAAAAGCTTCACGCATGCGTGTTCAAAATTTCTGATGTATTGGAGCTAAAATAAAAACAGGAGCGATTTGAAAACCACCTATTTTTTAGTCACGAAATTTTGGTTGCATTCGAAAATGGGAATTCTTGGTTTGAGGTCAATTTCGGCTTTGGTGTTGAAATTAACTACATATACACCCAGTTGTGGATGAATATAAATATAAAATATACTAGGTGGTTAAAATAGGACATGAACATAAAAAATTCAAAATTATTTTGGAAAATAAATTTTATATTATGCGAAAAAAGTTCTGAAAATTTGTAATGAAAGTGTGTAATGTCAGTTTCGGTAGTGTTATAAGCCTATAGTATATTATACACTACTTATAAAAATTATATTAACTTATTTTCAACTTTACCAATCTGGATTTTATGTTTATGATATTTGCGCTATCACTTATGACATGCTGTACTCTACTGATAAATAGATATAAGTTTGATTCTTTTATTAAATGTTAAAGTTTAGAAATTGAAATTCATATCCTCCAATGTAATGTCATTTACCAAAACTGATAGGCTGATGGTAATTATTCATTCATTTCTCTTTATTTCTGACTTTACATCCAGAGTTAAACATCATCAACTTAACTGTTTACAATATGGGAAAATAAATCCCACAGGATCCATAGAATTTATAGATTGACAAAAAGAAGTTTGTTCCATCTTTTTGAAAGCCTGGAACTTTAAAAAATTCCATTTACAGAAAGAACTAATAGGTTTACACAGAAAATCGTTAAATTAAAAAACTAAAAATTGATTTTCTCATAAATTCGTGGAATGATAATAAATTATTATTAAACAAATAGTGCACTAAAACAGTAATATCTCGGTTGACGTAACAGTTTTCTTAAAGTATTGTTATAACATACTCTCTGTATGTTCATAGATGAAAGTCTATATATAGACCAAAGTGTAGAACAATAAAAACTCATAGAGAAAGAACGAAATAATAAACATTTGACTTGATCTCGGCACTTGCTAAGCTTTCTACAGAGTACATTTCTACGTATTCTCAGTGATCTAACTTGTCCTTTGATATCAAGCTCACAATATATTACTGTATGTGACCAAAATATGACATATTTAAGGTTTTTGTTATTAAGATATGTTTTAGGCATACTTTATGACTTCATACTTTTAGGGATAAACCTCATACACACCGATTTCTTGTCATTATATAATATCATGCCCAGTGGCGTAAATTCCACATAATTGCACAAGATGCTGCAACCCGTCCATCGACGGGAGACAACAACGCCGTAACTTAAATAACTGAATTTAATTTCAGCAAATTCACATCCATATGTAGAGTTACTTTACTAAAAATAATAGTACGGTCATTAGTATTATTGCTGCGAAGCAGCCAATTCATATTCTTGACAGCAATTTGACCTCTGAAAGGTCATTGTTCGTCAAAAAACATGGGCCTAAGACGACTGAAAAGCGGAGTTTCCTTCTTTCGTTCTGCCGGGTAAAAACAATTACTAAAACCAACACGTACCAACGTCCGTATGTCGCGCTAGCCTTATCCTACTCTAGTCCTAGACTAGCTAGGATGGTATAGGCCTACCCTTGAAGGGACGAAGGTCCCAATGAAAAAAAACGTCGCTCCTTGATAGCTAACATTGTCTATTTAACATCACAATAATTCATTATTAGACCTATAGCTGTTTTTTTAATTGTACTCCACAAATCTCAGCCGATACCTCGCACAATCGAGTAACGTCTCGTATCTATTGTCGTGACGTCATGGCTTGCTGGCTCACACTTGCAATGTCTCGCACTTGTGATCAAATAACACGCTGGCTCGCACTTTAGCAACACTCTTTGGCAGTCAACTCGCCCCTAGAAAACATGCCCTTGGAAACTTGCCCCATAAAAAAATGTACACTTCCTAGACCATGCAGACTTCAAAATAAAAATTGCAACCTTTGCTAATCAACTACATTTTCCACATACATAGAAATTTTTGAAACTTTAACCTAAAAAAACCTACCATAATTCACCACTATAGATACTTTTTGACAAAAATGAAAAATTACGACTTTGTTACCCAATGAGAAGTGTTCTGATATAGAGTCGAATGGGTCGTGTCTCATATTATTTGTTATATTTTTATTATTCATTATTTTCACTTGACTCGCATAAATAATTTTGTTCGAAGAAATATGCAGTTGTACTTCGCAGCACTTCACTTGCAATTTGCAATTTCTAGTATACTTTTTAAAAGCGACAAAACTCCCTCGCTGTGCATTTCGCTTGTGTCCTTGAGCAAGACACTTTATCTGCATTGCTTCTCTCCACCCAGGAGTATAAATGGGTATCTGGTGGGGTTGCCTGCTCCTGTGCTGATTACCAGCAGCAACACTAAATATGTGGATCCAATGACCGTGGACAGAAGCGCTTTGTATCTGCAAAGAAAGGCGCTGTATAAATAACCAATAAAAACTATACTTCAAATATCCCTTATATATTCTTTGCAAATAAAATAAAGACATTCCTAATAATTTATTGAATATACAGTATGTCAGTTACAGTAGTATAAGCCTATGCTTTTTATATACAGTAATTTACCAACTGGGAGCATTTAAGAAATGTCTATCAATAGTAATAATAATAATAATAATAATCATAATAGTAATAATTGTTTTGTTTTGTAAATATTTAATGTAGAACCCACTATTGGCTTATTATCATAGTCTTTATATTTAATTCTGTTTGTGTTTTAAATTGTTTTGTAGTTTAGACAAGACTTTTTTTTATTCCTTGTTTCGTGTACTTATTTTTAAAAAAATTATCGGAGGAGGGCGGAATAAAAATAATAAATAATAATAATAAATAATTTTGCCAAAATCATCCAGATGGAGGAGACAATATAAATAAAATTTTATGTGAATGTAAAATAGGATGGTTAAATGCTTCAAATTTATATAATTAAGAAGAAATATGCATATTTTATCTTTGGCCATTTCAACGCAGCAGAGGGCGTAATAAAAATCAAGAAAAACTTTTATTTTCTTCTGAAATTTGCACTTTTCTGTGGCAGCGGGTGCGCTAATTGGCCAAAGCTAATTGGCCAATTTTAAAAATTTTATTTTTTTTCAAAATCATCAATATTTGCAGTCGGCGGGTTCGCTTAACTTAAATGATATCTTATTTTGTACTATTTGAACTTCCTGGCTTAGATTAAGCATAGAATTCATAAATTTACATTATAATTATCTCACAAAAACATCCAAATTGTGTTTCTTTATAAATTAAAAATTGTTTTCTATATAATCCAACATTGCAAATAAGCGCAACATCAGTTACCAACTGGCCATCATGTAATGTTATATCTCACAAAAAATGTAATAAATTTGTAATCATTAACTGTGTTATTCTAGTATACTAATGCAGTATTCCATATCATACAAATCAAGTTTTGTTTGTCTCTCAGATATGTGCATGAGATATCGGAATTTGTTTTAATTCCTAGTTTTTGTGCATCTAATTTATGTAACGTAAATCTGTACCGCAAATGGTAAAAAGTTTAAATTGGTATTCCTGTATATTTCACTCCCTTAGTACTATTTTTTCTCTCCTATTTTTTTATAGAGTAACAATGTGAATATAGGATGAAATGTAACGTCAGTTACTGTGGAATTGCCCGGTTTCAGAAAAATATAAACATATCTCTTAAGTAATTGCATGTTTTTGTCAACCAAAGCTTTCAGCAAGAAATTCTCTCACTTCGCAAAGTCGGAAAAAATTGGTTTGATGACAAGTTCAGAGAGGATAATGTGTACTACGTCATCAATTTTGTCGGGTCATAGAGAAAAAATAAATACGACCTCTGCTGCCAAAACAATAAAGGGCTGTGCAGACAGTCGAGTTGCTGCCAGAAAAATAAAAGCGGTGCCATGATATTGTGCTCAATGGCCGATAGTCACAAACCCACATATTGCTCACAAAATATGATGTAGATATTCACAACTTCATCTCAAATACCTTTTCAAAATCACAACTTGGTGGCAATTAGTGATCATAGGTTTTGGTTGAACACATCTACACATTTCGCGACTTGTAAAGGTGTCATCTTTGTTTTCATGGGTGCATGGAAGGCAGGACTTGTTACAAAACCAATTTGTTGCAGTGGTCAGTAGCCTTTGGCATAGAATGCCTTCCTATAGCCCCAGGTCCTTAGTAAACGAAAAATTTGATTTTGATGTGAGAAAGATTTATAATATAATGATATTTCTAGTAGCTACTTTGACTAAATTTAGTAAACATAAAAAAAAAAATGGAAAATATGACTTAAATTTGATTTGTATGTGTGGTCGCAAAAAATAGACACGGATGAATTTTCTACATTTAGTCTGGGCCTGCCCTACCTCGATTTTAGATTTTAATATCAGACATAAATATGTAAAACATTACATATTCTCTTTTCTAGTTTTGACATTAACGAAATATAATTTTTTTAAACTTATTGAAAGCGATTCTGATCAAGATTTTTAAAACTTATTCATAGTAACTAATTAAATTAAGTAAATTATATGAATATAAAATGTATGCTAAGTATCATTCTGCATGTAAAGGTAAACTCAGACAGGGTAGAACGATGCAGCCCGATGTGATGGTTTGCATCGGGGGAGTTGCGTCATGGAACATGTTTATTTCTGACACCTTGAGACTGTCGCTGTCAATAAATCGTGTCAGACTGCTTCTGTCGATGCTGTCTGAGTTGGCCTTAAGTTTTAATTGTGTTATGATTGTACGTCATGAAATTAAAATAGAATAACAAAATGAACAGTTAAACGTTTTGATATTTATGATGCATTAGTATTTCATTCTAAACCTAATTAATGCAATTTATTTTACAGTACAAATTCTGAAGAAACTTGGACATTGCACCTCCTCTGCAACAAGTCAACCTGCCCTGCTTGGCTGAATGACTAATCTTGCTGCCACTACTGAATGGTGAGTGTGCTAAAAAAAAATTTGTGAATGTTCTTATTATGAATTTCATGTCCATTGCAAATTGCTTTGTGGAATAAATAAATGCTTTGTTTCTGAAATTATTTTAATTACCTGGAGACTTAAACTGAATATTTTCTGTTATGTCCAAATTTGACAAAAAGGTAAACTAATTATATTCTTTTAATGCTTCAATTTGTCTAATTGGTAAATTTGTTTGTGGCTTGAAGAAATCGTAAATGTCTTGTTTAAATTATGAATAATAACTTCAATTATTTTCCCTTTCCATTAATTTCTATAAATATTTTCCCTTTATATATATTTTTCCTCTGTCCATCAGAATTTTTGTTTGATTTATGAAAATTGACTTTAAAACATTTTATCTTTTCATTTATACTTTGTATAAATGTGTGATTAATAAAAATTGACTTTAAAATATTTTCATTGGACTTATTACTTTGCATAAATGATGATTTATAAAAATTGACTTTAAAATATTTTCCCTTTTCATTGGACTTATTACTTTGCATAAATGTTTGATTAATAAAAATTGACTTTAAAATATTTTCCCTTTATACTTTACATAAATGTTTGATTAATAAAAATTGACTTTAAAATATTTTCATTGGACTTATTACTTTGCATAAATGATGATTTATAAAAATTGACTTTAAAATATTTTCCCTTTTCATTGGACTTATTACTTTGCATAAATGTTTGATTAATAAAAATTAACTTTAAAATATTTTCCCTTTATACTTTGTATAAATGTTTGATTAATAAAAATTGACTTTAAAATATTTTCATTGGACTTATTACTTTGCATAAATGATGATTTATAAAAATTGACTTTAAAATATTTCCCTTTTCATTGGACTTATTACTTTGCATGAATGTTTGATTAATAAACTTGAAAATATTTTCACTTTATATTGTTGCATTACTTTGCATTTCTTACTCTTCTAGGTATGGCAACTAGCGATTTGGTAGTTGAAGCTCGCAATATATTAATTGTAATCAGTATAGTATTCAAGAATTTTAATATTGAATTAATATTGAATAAATGAATATTAATTGTATTCAGTATAGTATTGAATATTGAATAATTTATTGTAACAATATTGAATAAATGAATATTAATTGTATTCAGTATAGTATTGAATATGGTTTTTTTCCTTCTTGAGTATTGAATGAGCAGTAAGGTAAAAAAAAAAAAGCGCCCTCGAATAGAAAAAGGCCCTAAATATGACTAAGTTATTTGGCCACAATAATCTGTCCGGTTCTGATAAAAATAGTGAAGAAAATCGCCCTAAATAGCCATTTTAATTTAAAGTTTTTTAGGGTGTCTTATTCACCAGGATTACGGCATCACAATATTCAGCTGATGTTCAAGCTAAACTTCTGTATTGTATTAGGCATCACAAATTTAATTAACTAAAGTTAAATTGCCTAAATTAATTATAGTAGGTTTCTCTTCCTTGTCTTGTTCTGCAGCAGTACTTTTCCTGTCTTGCACCTCTGTGGCCACATCTACCAAAAATATAATTTTAAAAAGAAATTAGACACAAACACAATTTTAAACAAAATTGAAGGTATTAATAAAGTTAATATAATTTCATAAGCTTCAGCATATTCAGGCCCGTAGCCAGGTTCGTCGAAGCCCAGGAGGGGTCCGCAAAATCCCCAAAGCCACAGGATTTCTGTGCTTTATGGGTCTAAATAATGCTATTATAAAGCAGATGCTTGAAAATGTCCCGAGTCCTGGTAGACCGGGGTCTGCAGTGCATTAGTTTGGTTGGAGGGCTTGTTTGAAAATTTGAAGAGGGAGGGGGTTTCTAGAAAAGTTGGTTCTCCAGAACCATAAAAAAATCCCCTGGCTACGGGCCTTATATTTCATTTAATACTTAGTGCCTGTTTCTGCTGAGCAAAAAAAATGTGTTTTTAAACAGTTATTAAAAAACGTGTTTTTTCCCCAGTAGAAATGGGCCACAAAACAAAAACACAGGAATGCGTTTACACGTTTTACACGCATTCGTTATAGGGTTTGCGTTCAGAAAATGTGTGTTTCCTGGTACACTTTTCAGCTGCAACATAATACCGTGTTAGTCATGACCCGTCGGTGACCCTAATTGACCTCTTCGTTGGTTTAATCGTTCGGTCCCTGGGAAATTCTGGGTGAAGAAAAAAATTAAACCAATAGGATGACATGCTTGAAGATCATACCATAATTCTGTCATACTTTTGTGGTGTGTTGTTTACTTCTTTCTCAGCATCCGCTGTAGCTCGCAAGTTGTAAGGTCAGCTTCAACTTCCGTTGGTGGCCGTCATTTAAGCTCTGCCACCTACCAATGCTCGCATTACCGTGTTTTTGGCGTTATTCAGCAGTAACACACCCTTCCAGTATTATCAAATATTTGATGTATATCAAAAGTTACTTGTTATCTTGACAAGAGATTTGTCTGTCGACTGCAAAAAAAAATAAAAAAAATACGGATATTGTTTTTGTATGCTCAGTAATTTTCACAAATACTGTACTCATTTGGTTAAGTGCAAGGTCAGTGTTCTAGTGGATAAGACACCAGGCTAGTTATCTGTTGTGTAAATCCAATTTTCATGTACTAGTATGTACTGTAATGCCATTCAATGATGTATTATGCGTTACTTGGCATCATAATGAATGCTCAGTATGTTCCCTAATACATGCAAATAAAGTCATTTTGGTTGGAATTGAACAACTGAACTTGCACATAGTGGCTAGTGCTAAATCCGATTTCCAAATAGCAGCAAGTGCTGCAATTCCTATATATTTTTTATTACAACACCAACACTAAATGTTGTACTAAATACTCAGTACATGCCCAATTGATAAAGAAAACTTGCAAGTGTCCAACGCTTTTCTATTGTTCTACCTTTTTCCAAACACCAATAAATATAATTCCCATAAACAGTATTGTACAGTATTATTACCAAAAGGTCCACTGATTAATCTCGGATAAGAAAGTGTAATACATACTCCAAGTATTGAAATACACGCCATCGTGTTGGGATTCAATATTTCAGAATTATGTTATCAGGAAAATGTTCACAAACCTCAATATACTTTTTATGTATTGCAGCATGGGTCATGTTCTGTTGCTTCATCTGCAAAAAAAATAAAGAATAAGAAACAGCAGGTAGAGAGACAAAAGTAATTTTTTAAATTTTAAGGAATGATATCAGTCCGCAGATTCTAAGGGCTTTTTATTCCTTGTTTCTCTTAAAAGGTGCTGTTTCTCAAAAACATCCAAATGGAGGGGAAAAACAAAAATAAATTTGTATTGGTGAATGTAAACAGTGTAGTAATGGGATGGTTTAAATGCTTTAAATTTATATAATTAGGAAGAAAAAATGCATATATTAATTTTGCAGATTTCAAGGCAGCGGTGGACGTAATAAAAATAAAGAAAAACATTTTTTTTTTTTCAAAAATTTCATTTTTATTCGAATTGAATTGCATTTATTCTTCGGTGTAAACACCAAGGATAGAGCGCGAAAGTCTAGAAGACAACTTAATTCAAGTGGGTTCTTCTAGTGGTACTTGGGCAGTACACCGGGAGACAATCCCCTACTCTTTTTAAGAGTGTACTGCGGGTTTGCTATTAAAACAAGGTAGAAAAAAAAGGAAACAAAATCAAAAGAACAACATGTTAAACAAAAGGAAATGTTAAGTGGTGATATTTAGAGATGTACTGTCACATGAAAAAAATGAAAATGTAAAATCATTTTTGTAATAAAAATTATCAACTTAAACGTAGAAATTAGTTGATCTAAAAAATCTTTACAGATTGGAAAATTATAGAAAGACTTTAACCACTGGAAGTGTTTTATAATTTATAGAAATATAAAAATCAGGGAACACATTGTTAAGAACTTTAAAAATGGTTATGTTCCTGCAAAATGAGCAAGTTATATTATTTTTTATCATTTTCAGGGTACAAAATCAAATCTAACACTTGTATAAGATGACCCCCTGTTTTCGGGTCGTAATTTGCTAGTTTAAGCCTATATTATACACAAGTATATTCGGTAACTATTGGCAGCTGTGGGGGGAGTGGGAAGGAAGGGGGTGCCAAACAAAGTGAAAGCAAGTACAAGGGGAGCTCACTTTCACCTCCGCTCCACTATGATTGGGGCTGAAGTTGAAAGACTTAATTTTTTAAAGGTTTCCAATAGTCTTTATTTTAAATATTTGTTGCCAAAAAAGCCAGCGGCTAAATACTGTAGGAGGTTATTCAATTTAACAATTGCTGACAGAGAATGGATTACAAGAACATTCTAACCCATGCGCTTACATGCACCCATATCAATGGCGGATCCAGGTTTTGGACGAACCCCCCTGTGAAGAAAGGATGGGGAGAACCTTGAATTTTGAAGCTTAAAGGTCATTAAAAGACTCCTCAAAAGTTGGGAAAGCTCATTTCCGGCCATCTAGAAATCAAAACTTTCCCGGTGGAGGACCCCTGGATTCTCTCTTCCCCCCCCCCCTTCTTTCATTTTGGATTTTTTTTCTTAAACATTTCGAACCCCCTCCCCCTCTTTTAAATCCTAGATCCGCCCCTGCATATATTCAGACACAATATGGCGATGATAAGGCAAATATGAGAAGCTGAATATCACATAATAATAAGGTTTACAGTATTTAAAACAAACTTGGCACAACTAACAGTTGTTAAGGTGGTATAAATACATACTCCAAGTATTGAAAATGTGCGCCATCGTGTCAGGAATCCCGACACGAAGGCGTGCATTTCGATATGTGGAGTATGTATTATACGATCTTATCTGATCTTATCCGAGATGAATCAGTGGACATTTCAGTCAGGAAACAGTTAAAATTTTGAGTTAACAGTTGTTATTCTGCTATTCCGTGTACACAAAAATTAATGAGGTATGATTATGATGGGGTCTCGAATGTGGTTGCAGGACCATTGACCCTAAAAATTCACCCTATTTGACCAACCGGATATATTGATATGAAATTTATACCAGTACACAGATACAAATCATCATTATACAAGATACAAATTTCCTTATTTTCCAAACGAATGGAAATAACAGATTGTCATCATATAGGGCTTGTTGGTGGTTGATTTGAGCCTGAGTGATACAGGAGCTTACAGTAGCTCAGTCGGCTAATCTGCCTCTCCTTGTGTTTCTGAAGAGCTGAAATTCAAGTTACAACAGCACATTCGTCTTTCGGATGAGGCGACTAATGTTTTAATTTTAATCATACATTTTCAGGTCACTCATCGTAAACTTTTGCTGATCCATTTCCCACAAAAACAAAATGTAATTAGTGGGTTTGTCTTAATATATTCCGTGAGAAATTTAAATGGCATTATAATATTTTTCTTTATGTAGATATTTAACAGGAGATCAATTTTCAAGTGAGTCTACTTGTGAAGCCTATGTCAGGTGCCTAAGAATGCTCTGCAGGTGTGTTTGGAGTTAAGTTGATTTCTTTTGTTTTTCATTAAATATTTATAAGCAATAACAAATTTATAAATAATAACAAAAGATAAAAAATAGTATAAATCGGAATGCTGTAGTTGAGTCCTTTCCAGTCTGTACCACTACCATAAACAAGGTTGCAGCCACTTTTATAAGCAATCACTTACCACCAGGGTAGCCTATGCTAATCAGAAAATAAAATCGCCCAAAATACCAACAGTGAAACATAATCACAATCCATCACATTGTTATAACAAATTGGCAACCGTTTGTCCCACGTGCATTTATGGGCCCTGCACGTTAACGCAGTACACTCTTTGGAAAAGAGTACGGGATTGTTTCCTGGTGTACTGCCAATCACCAACAGAAAAACCTGACTGGAAGCAAGTCTTAAGTTCTAGACTATTCTTGGTGTTTACACCGAATAAATCAAATCGAATCGATTGACCCATTTATTATATTAAATTAAATTCAGGGTGGGTATATTAGATTTTTAGGATATGTTAGTGAGAACAAGAGACAAAGAAGTGCATTTAAAAAGGAGAATGAAAGGACAAAAAGGTGGGAAAAGAAATACAGACGATGTCAATGTGTGAAAGTGAAATGAAGAAAGGATGACAAAAGACAATGATAAAATACATAAAGAAAACCAAAGACAGATTAGGAATATGCAGGCCTGTACGCAGATTTTTACAGGATGAGTGCGAATTTGTGGAAAGTTTACCACAATGGGGGTCCAAAGCACATAGCCTTCTGGGGTCAAGTGGGCAGAGCCCCCGCGCTCAGCCATTCTTGATATTTGATATTTATTCTTGATAGCGTTAACAACATATTAAATCAACAAAATTAAATCAATTTAATTAAAAACATTGTGAAAATGTCGTTAATTTATAGCACAAGGTAAATAAAACATGATATTTTTTTTAAATTCTGTAGTTCTATAATGCACTATGAAAACAGCCTATAATATTATTAGGCATTGGAAAATACTAAATTGTTACCATAAATTTAAATGTTATAAACAATTGGAATTAATGGAAATCGCAAATAATTACAACCACTTTACATTGTCGATGAGATGGGTAAACGTCAGAAATATATATAATCAATTAAGGTCATTGGTCAACAATATATCATCCTTTGTTTCACAGAGTTTTCGAGCTAGCCCAATAAGTTCCGGATTACTAATAACTAATAAGCCTAATAACAAGTGTTACAGAAAATCCTTTATTCCAACTGCTGTTTAATGAAACCATAACTAGATAAGTTTAAAATAAAAATGAAAATAATTACAGTAACAAAGAAAAAATAATAATAAAATAATAGTAATAATAGTAATAATGTTAACAATAATAATAATAACTAGATTTGAACTCGTCACTGAGGACGAGTTAGGTGATCCGCCGCACTTTGACCCTCATTAAGATCACGCGGTGCTGATTGAAAAGTGTCATAATATGCTAAAATTTGCTGTAATTAGTTTTTTTTAAAAAGAATAATTTTGAGCATTTTAAAAGATTTACGCATGCGTACAC